AAAGTGTTAAATCTTGCGATCTAATAATTATAAATTATATTACAGGCATATCTCACCATTGGTGTCCGGATCCCCCACTCCTAAATGTAAACCCTTTTAAAAAATGAAAAAAAAAAAGAGAGAATTGAATTCTTTTTATTTATACCAACCCATTGTTGGTATCTTTTATAATTTTCCTTTGGAAAATGCTGTTTTGGGTAGCAGCTTTGCCTTTCATTCTTTGGACGGAACTGCCTCAGTTATCATATACTACTACTGAAAAAACAATAAAATTTAAAATTTAGTAGAAGATTAAAAAATGATGAAAAGGAGTGACATGTGGCAGTTTTGTCACTTAATTATCACTGGAATACAAACTCATAATGAGATTTTAAGTCATTGATACAATTGAAGAAAAAAATTTGGAATGGTACAATACTTTTAATGACATATCCTTTGAATAGTTAGACTGTATTTGAATCGAATTTAAGTAAAATAGCAAAAATGATGTGAGGTATTCTGCAGAAAAGTTGTGGCTTCTTTGTGAAATCTATAAATTAATCATTGTCTGCAAAACTGGAGCAGGATTGGTATCCCCTCAACCTCAACCTCAACCATGTCTATCAAAAATCTTCTCTATGAAAACAGAGAATGCTGCAAAACCTGCACAACCAGCACATGCTGCTTTCGGACCACCTACAAACAGAAAATACAAGAGGTCTGTGTAAGATAAACCTGAACAAAGCAATAAGAGCAGAGTAAGCAACATCATATATGTAATACATAAGCAAGGAGAGGCATATACGACAGATGTCATTTTACTTTTCTGGGAAGTTCTTTCTTGAATATTGATTAGTCTAGAGAAGAGGGTAACAGCAACAAAACATGACTTCCAGATTGATCTAGCCATGCTTGCCATCTACTTTGAGTGTGTTTTCTCGTTAAGAAACAAGTCCAGAGATTATTGTTTTTGTACAAGGATTTAAAAGGCCACCTTAGGCATGTCAATATTCTCTGGATTTGTACTATAGTATTAATAGCGTGGCTGAGTGCTAGAAGCACTTGAGTTGAGAATATTTAACTGTCATCCAGTTTTGCAGCAGACATATCACTAAAATTTGGAATGAGGTTGCTTTATTATTTCTAATGAAAGTAACCTAAGAAGTATAAACGAACTAAGTGAAACCAATGAAGATGAACTATTCATTCATTTGCAAAAGATATTTACATATAACAGTACAGGCTTCTGGGATTTCTGAATATTTTCTATTTTGATTTCAAGAAATGAAGAGTATGAACTCCTTATCCAAAAAACATTTCCATTTTTCAAATGTTATAGATACTTTATATGTATCACTGAATTTTGGAAAAAGGTTGTTTTCTTATTCCTAATAAAAGACTTAAAAGTAACCCATGAAATATAGAGAACCTAAGCAAATGAAGATGAGACATTCACTCATTTGCAAAAGATATTTTACACATTCAAGCTTTAGGGATTTCTGAACATTTCTAGTTGATTTCAAGAAATGAAGTACAGACTTCATATCCAAAATACTTTTCCATTTTCCAAATATTATAGAGACATTATATGTATATCATTAAATGGCATTGACAGAATACATACCTCTTGCTGACATTGCACCTCCAGTTGCACAACCAGCAACAACTGTATTTGTCATGTCATGTTTTGCTCGGGACTTCAGAAACAAACAATTGACCATGAGTTCCCATATTAGAAATTAAAAGTTACATGTTTACACATACGCCTCTGTGTGTGTGTGTGTGTGTGTGGTTTTTGTTTGTAATACTAATACCTTCTCAACAACACACTCAACAGCAGAGAAAATCAATCCCATAACTGCAAATGTTTTTGCTGAACTCCAACTTCTTTGCCCCATCTGCTTCGCCTGATAAATGAATTTTTGCTTGGTAGTCAATTCATCTTGCATTATAGGATTTTCCAAAGAACCCAGTAACATACCCATGAAAAATCCAAATCCACCTCCTACAATCATGTCCAAAAAACACATGGAAAATAATAAAAATCATTAAAGTCACCAGCTTTACTATTGAACCCCCAAACCCTTCATAAACCTCTGCCATACAGCAAGACAGCAAAATGAAAACTGAAGGAAATATGCAGAATCATATAAACCAATCAGATTTGAAAAAAAAAAGAAAAAGAAAAGGGCATGGTCATTTACTCATTTTCTCAGCATCCCATAGAACACGAAAAAAGAAGAAGGAAAACATGAAATTAATCAATTAACTATATTTCTAGATGAACAGATCAAATCCCAATTACCCAAAAAACTGAAGAAATACCCAAAGGAAGGGAGCTTTACACTAACCCATGACTCCACTAACGACACCGCGCACAGCGCAATTATCCCAGACTTCTTGGGCACGAACCTCCTCCATTGTTGGCATTCGAACAGGCCTAATTTGGGGCGTCTCTGGTTCGCTTGAGCTCGAATGTCCATTGTTTGATTCAGTACCAGAATTCGTAGAAGCCATCGAATATAAACTCAAACCCCACAAAAGAAGAGAAGAAAATAACCAGAGTATAAAGCCCTGCAATAGACGTCTGTATAAAGCAAGAGGGTTTTGGGGATTAGCCGCCGCCGCCGCCGCCGCAACTGGAGTTCCGAGATGTAGAGACTAGGAGTCCTGGCTTGGGGTCCAAGAACTGCTCGCCCGCCCTTGTAAAGGGTTCTACTTTCACCATTTTGTTTTTGTTTTTTTCCTTTTTGGGCCTTTGTGGGGGAGGGAAATCGGCTTGGGGCCTTGGGCTACGCAAGACTCAGACATGGCTACACACCCAAGCTAGAGTTACGTGGCTTAGCTATCGGCCCATGAAGCAACGACATCGTTTTACTTGCAAAGAAAACATAAGACTTCCTTACCATTTGCAAGTAAATAAATAAGATATTAGTGTTTATTCGTCTTATTTTTAAAAAATTAAATAGAAAAAAATAATAAAAAATATTTTAATTTATATTTTAAAAATAAGATATTTTAATCTTTTTAATAGATATTTATTAAAATGAAATAGTTTTGAAATAATATTTTTTTTTAATTTTTAGAAAGTAAGGTGAATAAACATTATTCTTAATAATATATCAACTTTATATTTTTTCTATTTAAAAATATTAAATTTGTTAATTTTTAAATAAAAATATTAATTTTTAACATTTTTTTATTTAAAAATATTAACTTTTAGCTTTTTTTTTTTGTATTTAAGAATTAATTGAATGGTGATTTTTTTTAATAAATAGACCATCTAAAAAATATTAATATTTTTAAATAAAAAAACTTAAAAGTTAATATTTTTAAATAAAAAAATTAAAAATTTTTATATTTATTTAAAAATTAATAAAATTAATATCATTAAATAAAAAATAAAAAATTAATATTTTTATTTCTACCTTTTTTTTGTTCTTTTCTTTATTTCTTCACTTATGATCTTTCTGCTCACCACTGGTCAGTGGTATGATTTTATTGTCAATAAAGGTTATCAATAAATTGTTTTAAATGCTATTTGACAAGTCAAAATAATTGGATTTACTGATAAAACATAAATATTATTAGGTTTTTTCTTTTGATAGGATATAATATTGGGTTTGTAGTATGATGGATGAAAAACAATTTCAACGCCTAAGTTTTTGAAACTTTTTAACTCAAAATTCTAGCTAAAAATGAAAGAAAGGGTAGAAGGGGGGACACGGAGACCAGAGGAGAGGTGAAAACTTTGCTAATAATACTAGAATTTATCTTTAACAATATCTTAATTTAAATGGAAGAAACTTTGTTCTTCTTAAATAAAAATTTAAATTCGAGTCTTATGAATAGAAAAATAAATACTGAAAGAACTTTTCTTTTAATAGGATTTGATGCGACTTGCTTCTAAATTAATCAACATTCAATATAATTACTAGATGTCGAGAGATTAATCCAAAAAAAAAAAAAAACTAAAGTTTATCAAGCTTCTTTCTCATGCAGCTGCTGGAGCATTTTATTAGAGCATCTTATCGAAGTGCCAAACAACTGTACAAATCCACCAAGATAATGGCTCTGAACTCAACATATTAAATAATGAACATGCCAAAGTTCATACAAATTCATGTACACTTAATGTTAACAACTTAAAGAGTTAAATGATAATTTTTTTAAAAAAATAAAAAATTTTAATTCTAAACTATATAATATATAAGTGAACTAGAATAAGAGATAAAAAAAAATATTATCTCTCATAATACAACTAAAATAAAATATATATATATATATATCTAAGTTTTGATAATTGGGTTAATGTAATAAAATAGTTACCGTGTCCCGTGCCTACCCTTCTCAACTAAGCTACATAGTGGAATAGTTTCTTGGTGGATTCAACCTAAATGAAGAAAGAAATGAAACTCAGTGTAGCCTTTTCATAAAAGCAAAGTTAATGCTGAAAACAGTTGCGCAGAATGCCTAATTAAGAAGTTACTTTATCACACCCAATTAGTTGAGGTTTTATTATTATTTTTATGTAAAATTTAAAGATTAAATCCAAAACTTATAATTAAAAGAACAAATAATCCTACAAACAAATCACATGCATTGTAATATTAGCTGTGTTATGTGCCTCACGACAATAATCCAAATTATTTATATTTTAATGGAGTGAGTTAATGATTAAAATTTAATACTCTAATTTAGAGATTTTAAATTTAAATTTTAAATTAAATACAAAAATTAAAAAAAAGAGTTATTATTTATTGTGTAATGCATTTAAATGTAAAAAATAAAAAAATCGTGAAAAAAAGAAGGCATGCGAGCAAATTTGCCATTAATGTTCACTGCCCATTGCGAGCTTCAGAGCAAAGATCCTTCTTTTGAAAATGCGAGCAGAACAGAGACACCCACTCGCCAAACTCTCGATGCGTCCGAGTCTCTGTGCTCTCTTTCTCCTTTCGTGCATACTGTACCAAGGTTCGACGGCCGGAGCCATCGGCTTGAACTGGGGCACCATGTCGTCGCACCCTCTCCCACCGTCCAAGGTGGTGGAGCTCTTGAAGGCCAACGAGATCACCAAAGTAAGGCTCTTTGATGCTGACCCACTTGTGCTGCAAGCTCTCTCCGCCTCCAACATCGCTGTCACTGTGGGCATCCCCAATTCCATGCTCAAGACCTTGAACTCGTCCAGGAAGGCTGCGGGGAGTTGGGTTCATGATAATGTCACCCGCTACTTCTCTCATGGCAGCAATGGAGTTAGAATTGAGTATGCTTTTCTTTTCTTTTATTTAATTTTTTGTTTAGTTTTCTGGGTTTTTAGTGTACATTTGGAAGCTGCATTTCCATGTATGATTGATATATGGATGGTTTAGTAGGAAAATATTTATTTCAATCGATGTTAGGGTTTAGAGTAAAAAATTTCGATAGGTGGTTAAGTTGTGGAATAATGAATGGAGAAGTTCAGCAAAGAGAAATGTGAAGTAAAAGCATGTTTTTTTAAATCAATAAAGGAACAAAGTTGTGAATTTTAGTACACCATTTGGGGGATTGAAGGGGTTCTGTTGAGTATCTCTTCCGCCTAGTTGAAAACTAACTCTTTCTTGATCCTTGACGATCAACTCCTTGTTTCGAA